AAATTGAAGTGCAAATAAATAATATCGTGTGCAATCTTGATTAATATAAATTAAAAATTTTGCATAGAAAAATATTTTCATTCAGACAGAAAGTTTTTTGAAATATTTGCAATTACTTTATAAGAAGGATTTATTAATAACCGTAATAATTACTTATTATATTACTGATGATTAGGATTCAGTTCTTGACAATTACATTCTAAATTAGAATTTTAAGGATATAATGAAAATAAGCTACGCACAAAAATACATTTTTACAGATTAAATTGACATTCAATACAAAAATACAGAATGTTGGGTGTCGTTTATATAATTATTCTTGCTTGTCCACCGAATCTGCTGACTTATCCAGCCATTAAGTAGCTGCAGATCATTTCTACATAACTATTGAACTTCCATTAATTCAGTCTCTACAGGGTTGTATGTTTATATCATAATTTGACTTTTATAAAAATGATTATTCAAAATCTTATATTTCTATAAAAATATACTATGCTTTAAAAATAAGGATGATAGTATCTGCCGCTCTTTCAGCCACTTCAAAAGCAACAGTTTGTTTAGAAATAAATTATGCAGTTAATGTCATAAAATATTTTCATTAAATTCAAATAAACATTAAACGAAAATTCTCAGTTTTAGACAATTCGATTTAAACGAAGTAAAGTAGGCAGACGATAAAACGCCGAAGGTAAAAATTTACTCTTAGAAAAAAGTACTCTTATTTTTTTTTAAAAGGATGAAAGAGAGAAATTTAAAAAAATTGTTAAAAATTTGAATAATATCATCTATAATTTAAAAAAATATATTTTCATATAGTATTAATAAATATTTATTACGTCTTATTGTGGGAAAAAATTTCATATAATTAATTCTCCGTAAAATTTTACTTGAAATTTAAGGTTAAAAATAGCTGTGGCAATTCAGTGTAACAAAAATCCGTAGACCACATTTGGCGTTATTATCGCTCAAAAAAAGATGCCAAATTTCAAAACAGGAAAATATGTAAATTCGTGTATATCTTAGAAAATTTTGAATAAAAAAGTCTAATTTTTTGCAGATATGCTTAAAAATACACCTACTTTATGATGATGATAAAAATTTTATAGGTTATAATTCAAAATTTTTTTCGAAAAATTTATAAAAATTATTTAAAAATAGAAATCTAAAAAATAAAACACAAAAAAAAATGGGTAAATTTTATTTGGAATGAACCTAAATTTCGAAATGTGAGAGAAAAAAAAAAAAAAAGTTTAGTAAAAAAAGAGATATTAATAAATATTTGCCGAATTCAATTAACATTGAGGAGCTAAAATTTTGAGAGCTAATATTTCAAAAACTACTCGTACGATTTTTACAAAAACTTGGTATTATGGCATAATTTGAGTCGTAGAATCGAAATATGTAAAAAAATTGGTATGTTATTTCAGAAAAAGTCCGATTTTGTGTCAAAATACCTATGTTAGAATAGTGCTATATATAAATCTAATATATATCCTAAGTCGGGCTTTCGAGACATGAAAAACGCAGTTTGAATTTTTTTAATCGGCCCAGTAGAACGGGAGATATAGCACTGTCCCCCCCCCTTTTTTTTTTTTTTTTGAGCAGTGTACATGTTATTTCATTTTTTTTTTTAATCTGTTAAAAAAAAAAAAAATCTACAAAAACAAAATCTTTTTATTATTTCATTATCTCATATTAAGAATTTAAATTTCTGCTAAATCTTCTTGCCAGTTGATGTGTTAATTGATTAAAAGCTTTATGATTTACCATAAATAAATCTAATTATGTTAAGAATTATTTTTCCTAAAAATGAAAATTTTTTAATTCTTTAACAAATTAAAATTTTTGGTGTATACAGTATATAGATGACTCTCAAAATGTGCAGATTTGTATTATGCAATTGTTTCAACATAAATATTTTTTTCATGTGTTTAGAAGACAACCACTTAAATTACAAACTTAAAAATCTCTAAAAAGTTAGCATGAAGGCATCTCTCCTCCTAGGCTTATGTATGCTTTGGTGTAGTACATAAAATGTACATAGCTATTAACTTGTTATATAATTTGCTGCTATAAACTAAACACAAATTTATTAAAAGCTTAAGATGGTAGCTTAGAAATTCACACAACTACAGTGGTACCTCGATATATGAGTTTAATTCGTTCTGTAACCTTGCTCGTATGTCAGATTGCTCGTATCTCAAAGCAATTTTTCCCATTGAAATTAATTGAAATGCCATTAATCCGTTCCAGATTCCAAAACACCACCTCAGTTGTTAAGTGTTTTTGAATAAGAAAAATGTATTTCAAGAAGAAACATTTATTTATAAATAACAAATACATATACTAATAAAACATAATTAAAAGAAAAAGTTAAGTGCTTCCGTAAGCTTCAAACTGGTCTTCGCCTTTTTCGTCACGCTTTGCTCATTTTCACCTGCAGATCATTTAAAAAAACTGTTCAAGGAGGTTTGTTTCTTGTCCCTTTCATGATATTGCGGAAATGAGTTAGGCAAGTTTCATTGAACAACTCCGATGCACGACCAGTTGCAACTTTTTTGGGGTGATTTTTATCCACGAACTCTACAACTTTCTTCCACATTTCCAAGATCTCCTTTATATCTCTTGTAGGGATAATCTCCTCCATCTCTGGCTCCTCTTCAAAACTAATTTTTCGTTGAACCACTGTATGCTGCTGTGAATTTAGATTGTATAACTCCTTGGTTGTCAGCTCCTAAGACTGTTCCTCGATGAGTTCATTCACATCTCTCTCATCCACTTCCAGACCCATGAAACAATGAAAAGTTTCTCCCAAAGAAACAATCTCCTCTACCACTGACAGTTCGGGTTCCAATCCTTCAAAGGCCTTTTGAGCTACAGCCTCAGGCCACAATGCAGAGGTTAAGGTCCTCGTTGTAACACCCAGCCAGGCCTGATCAATAATTCTTAGGCATATCACGATGTTAAAGTGGTCCTTCCAGAACTCTCGAAGGGTAAGGTTTGTGTTCTCCGTCACCTCAAAGCAGCGCCGAAAAATGTGCTTGGTGTACAACTTCTTAAAATTAGAAATCACCTGCTGATCCATGGGCTGCAGGATAGGAGTGGTGTTGGGTGGTAGGTAGAGAACCTTTATAAACTTGAACTCTTCGAGTAAATCATCTTCGAGATTTGGTGGGTGAGCAGGGCATTGTCGAGGACGAGAAGGGCTTGCATGGGTAGGTTGTTTTCCTGTAGATATTTTTTAACAGAAGGGCCAAACACCAGGTTTATCCACTCCACAAAGAATTTCCTGGTGACCCACGCCTTCGGATTTGCCCTCCACATAACTGGCAGTTTTTCTTTTAAAATCTTATGTGACTTAAAGGCTCTGGGATTTTCCGAATGGTATACTAGCAGAGGCTTGATTTTGCAGTCGCCACTCGCATTGGCGCAAAGTGCTAGAGTTAATCTATCCTTCATGGGTTTGTGACCTGGCATCGTCTTCTCCTCTGCCGTTATGTAAGTCCTATTCGGCATCCTTTTCCAGAAAAGCCCTGTCTCGTCACAGTTGAAGACTTGCTGGGGGATGTATCCTTTGGCTTCTATCAGTTTCGGAAAACATTTTGATGTAAACCTCAGCTGCCTTCACATCCAAACTTGCTGCCTCACCATGCCTGACGACGGAGTGAATGCCGGTCCTTTTCCTAAAGTTGTCAAACCAGCCCCGACTGGCTTTAAACGAGTCTTCCGATTCCTCGTTTGTGGAAGTGTGTGGGATCTGCTTCAGCAAATCACCGTAAATCACTCGTGCCTTCTCACATATGATGCTTTGTGTTAAGGTTCCTCCTTGAAGCTGCTTCTCTGTCACCCACACCATCAGCAGTTTCTCCATCTTTTCATGGAGAGAGGTCCGGAGCTTAGAAATTATTGTAACGCCCTTAGCTGGCGTTATACCCTTTATCAACTCCTTCTGTTTAAGCACAGTACATATCATTGATGTGATACGCCCATACATCCAAGTCAATTATTTGCACACCTTGCTCATGTTTTTCTATGATTTCACGCTTTAATTCAATAGACATCATCTTCTTCTTTGGACCCATGGTTATAAAAATAAATGTGATAATGTTTTGTAAATGTACAAAAAGTAAAAAAATGAAAACCCAACTTATCAAAAATGCTTCGAAAATGAGGGAGACAAGCACACAGACTGAGGTGGGAGAAACTGTTAGATGCTGCACACGACACCAACATGCGCGTGCATGTTGGTGTCGTGTGCAGCGGTGTAGTGTGCAATTCCTTGTATCTCAGATCTTGCTCTCATCTCAAAGCAAAATATCGCTCGCTCAGTGGCTCGTGTCACAAAACACTCATATATTAGGGCACTCGTATATTGAGGTACCACTGTACATGTAAGTGATGTCATTCACATTGAGAAAACTGAAAAGAAAAACAAAATGCAGTGTTAAATCATTTCTGCATTTAATTAACTACACATTTTATATTATAGTAATAATTGTGTTGCCACTTTTTCCTGTGAGTATTAGAGTGAGCTGAACTGTTTTGAGCATTTATAAAGTTTTAAAATGTCTATGATGTTGGTTTCTTCTACCTGAAGAATTTGTAAATCCAGTAGCTGGTGTGACATTGCTTCTTATTCACTGTAAATTTATTCTTGTTTGCTTTGCTATTTGAATATCATTGATTTCTCATCATTTTTCTTGATATTTATCTTAACAGCATTTGAAATATAGCATTTTTTATTTGGGAGGAGGATAGCAAATAAGTTTAAATTTCAATCTCTTTAATTCAGTTTTAATATGCATACAATTAATTTTAATACACTGACAATTTTTAATTAAATATTAACCTATATTCATCTTTTTCATATTATTATATTTTGAGTCTGTAGTTGTAAAACAAAAGTGTGTATTTAATATACTTCACTTGCATGTTATTTCATTGAGTGCTGATATAAACGTATAAATGTTTTGTTGTAAAACCCTTAATTATATTCTAAGATGTTGCTTTGGAATGTGCTGGATTTCTAACAGGATTAGGATTTGATACTACAGTGATGGTTCGATCCATATGCTTAAGAGGTTTTGATCAAGTAATTGTAACATTTCTTTCATTATATATCTCATATTTTCATTTATAAGTTAATAATTTTAACTTCAAACTTAGTGTACTTCTAAATGAGTTGTATTAATTCTAGAAATTTTATATGCCAGCTGAATTTCCATAGTAAGTTATTTTTTTTTTAGCAAATGGCTTCTTTAGTTGTTGACCATATGAAATCTGATGGTACAAAATTCCTTCATGAGTGTACACCTGTCAGTGTGGAAAGAGATCAAAAATCGAATACCTTGCAAGTCACCTGGAAAGAAAAAGATGGCCAGTGTTCTAAAGACATCTTTGACACAGTTTTGTTTGCTATTGGTATACTTACTTGTTTATCATGATTGAATTTATTCTGGATAAATGCTTTTTTTTTTAAACTTACTGAAGTTCAGTAATTTAAAAATTGCATATATAATATGTAATGTCAAATTAAATAATAATGTTGTCTTAAAATAAATTGTTAAGTATGTACTGTTACCAATGTATCAATTGTGCATTATATTTCCACAAACTGTTAAAACTGTAAAAATATTGTAGTCAGTGTTAAACATCGTTTACTTGCAAAACACGATATCTAAAATAAAAATATAGGGTATATTTTACAATAAAGAACATTCTTATCAAATGTAACTAATTTGTTTACAAAATAAAGTATTTTTTTTTTCTTTTTGTCAGCTACAGAATGCTTGATTAATTGATTAATTAGTAAGGAAGATTTTCAATATTTAAGTCACTGACATACTAGTATACAATTACTAGTATTTTTTAAATATTTATACATGACAAGCATATTTAAAAAAAGTACAGTTTATGACAAAATTTCTTTATTTATCATAAAATTAAGATGTTTTGTGGTGATCAGATTTAATTTGAAAATTTTCTGTTTTTGTCGATTTGTATTGTAAAATGTTATTTGTTATGACTTCAGGACGGCAGGCTCAGACTAAATCTCTTGGCTTAGAAAAAATTGGTGTTAAAGTTGATCCAGATTCACATAAGATTGTGACAACAAAGGAACAAACATCTGTACCACACATTTACGCTATTGGTGATGTGATATTTGTAAGTTAAAAGTTTATAGTTACTCAATTACATATTAAAATATCTAGTATCATGCTTACTAGGAAAAAACCTGATGTTTTATTATTATATTTTTGTTGCTTAAATTACTAATCTCAAGCTGGTGGCCACAAAGCAGTGGCCTGCAAATGCATTTCAATTATGTATTTCTTACAAATATGGTGATGCAGAGATTTCAAGCTTTTAGTTAATTGAAGCCCAAATTTACATTATTTTCATCACCATTAAAAATGAACTTGAAGAAAATCTATGAATGGAGCTGGTTAATTTACTGTGATGATTTGAAAATACAGGTTTTATTGACATTTATTTGTGAATGTCAAAAAGTAAATAAACTCAGTTACAGATTTTTGTGCTAAGAATAATTGCTTTGTTTGGGAATATACTGACAGCTCTTTTTTTCACACTTAAAAATTATTAAAAAAACAAAAAGAATACAATGGACTGGTGAGTGTCCTTAATCTCTAATAAATCTGTTATAATCATAGCTTGTTTCTAGAATTGCACCTACTCTGGTATAAAAACCCCTGGCAGCTAATTGTTTCATCTCTTTTTCTGGCTTCCACCTTGCTAATAACTCCTTACTTTGCTTCCCCGTCTAAACTGCCTGCGTCTTAATGTTAAGAATAAGTGGACATGGAAATTTACTATATTTAATTATGATTGAATAAGTATCTGCCAAATTAATTGGATTTGTGTGAAAGTAAAGACTGAAAATTCTTAAAGTTCATGTTTTATTATCTTCATCTGCATGCCTGAACCACAGCCATGATGGACATCGGAAGCTGTTGAAAGTTCCAGCCATAGCGATTGTGCTTAGAAAATATGACAATTTTCACACATATCCAATTAATCTGACAGACACTTATTCAATCATAATTAAATATGATAAATTTTCGTGTACATTGATTCTTAACATTAAGATGCAGGCAGTTTGGATGGGGAAGTAAAGTGAGGAGTTATTAGCAAGGTGGAAGCCAGGAAAAGAAATGACATAATTAGCTGCCAGGGGTTTTTATACCAGAGTAGGTGTGATTCTTGAAACAAGCTGTGATTGGTTACCCTTTTCAAGCAGCATTACGTAACGTCGAAAAATCTCAAATTTGGGAGAACAGATGAATTTAGGGAGAGATCACCAAATCTAGAATGTTAATTTTAAAGGTTGCCAATTATTTTTTAAAACAGCTATTGTATTTTGTTATATCTTACATATATATAATATTTTTGTTGGTATGTTGATAGAACTTAGTAGAGTAGCTATGAGTAGTTAGCTATGAAAGATGAAACCAGATATTAGTCATGATTAAATAAGTTTCCAGGTGATAGCTGTAAAATGGAATGATGGACTTGCAGATCAATATAGCCAAATTCAACATAATTTTATTATTGTATAAATCAGTTCTGGAGACATAGTATTTGCTTCACATATGATTATGAGTGCAAGAGGCATCCCACAATTTTGTGTGTGTAGCCTACGATTTAGATAGTAGAAAAAGAAGTACAGTGAAGTGAGAGATCTTCCTTATTCATGCAGCAGCAAGTGAAAAAGTGAAGGGTATTAAGTATTTGGAGTCATTTATAATCTTGGTTCCTTTGTTTGGGTTTTGGATAGCAACTTGGGAAAAGTTTATAGCAATGCAAGGAAAGAATGATGTCAAGCTGAAGGGAAAGATTGATATCAATGATGCAGTATAGAATGCTTCAGTGCACAATGATGCAGCCAGGGCAGAGTTTCTCAGTGTGTCAATAACATATTAAGCAATTGCAGGGAACATCAGTGGACCATGATATCAATGATGCAGTATACACTGAAGTGACAAAAGTCATGGGATACCTCCTAATATTTTGTCAGTCCTCCTTTTGCTCGGTGAAGTGCAGCAACTTGACGTGGCATGGACTCAACAAGTCGTTGGAAATTCCCTGCAGGAATATTGAGCCATGCTGCCTCTATAGATGTCCATAATTGTGAAAGTGTTGACGGTACAGGGTTTTGGGCATGAAGTGACCTCTCGATGATGTCCCATAAATGTTCGATGGGATTCATGTCGGGCGATCTAGGTGGCCAGATCATTTGCTGGAATTGTCCAGAATGTTCTTCTAACCAATCGCGAACAATTGTGGCTCGGTGACATGGCGCATTGTCATCCATAAAAATCCCATCGTTGTTTGACTACGTGAAGTCCATGAATGGCTATAAGTGATCTCCAAGTAGCTGAAGGTATCCATTTATGTTAATGATCGGTTCAGTTGCACGAGAGGACCGAGTCCATGCCATGTAAAAACAGCCCAGACCATTACGGAACCACCACCAGCTTGAACAGTGCCTTGTTGAAAACTTGGGTCCATGGCTTCGTGGGGTCTGCGCCACACTTGAACCCTACCATCAGCTCTTACCACCTGAATCGTGACTCATCTGACCAAAGCCACGGTTTTCCATTCGTTTAGGGACCAACCGATATGCTCACGAGCCCACGAGAGTCGCTGAAGGCGATAGCGTGCTGTCAGTAAAGGCACTCGAGTGGGTCTTCTGCTGGCATAGCCCAAGGAAAACAAATTTCGCTGCACTGTCCTATCGGACACGTCCCTCGTACATCCCACATTGATTTCTGCGCTTATTTGACGCAGTGTTGCTTGTCTGTGAACATTGACAACTCTACGCAGACGTCGCTGGTCTCGTTCATTAAGTGCAGGTGGTCAGCCACTGTGCTGTCCATGGTGGGATATTATGCCTGAAATTAGATACTCTCGGCACACTCTTGACACTGTGGATCTCGGAATGTTGAATTCCCTAACGATATCCGAAATGGAATGACCCATGCGTCTAGCTCCTACCATTCCGCGTTCAAAGTCTGTTAATTCTCGTCATGCGGCCATAATCACGTCAAAGCCTCTTCATATGAATAACTTGAATACAAATGAAAGCCCTGCCAAAGCGCTTCGCATTTATGCATTTTCTACACGATACTACTGCCATCTATATATTTGCATATTGCTATCCCATGACTTTTGTCACTTCAGTGTAGATGCACTGATGGAAGTTGGATTAAAATTAGAACTTTAAAAGACTATTGTTAATTAGTTCTAGCTAAATTTAATTCTTTAATAAATTTCCATCATATTTTTATATCTTATGTATTCCTACCCTTGAAAGGGGAAAAGGCTGGGCGATAGAACTGCCTTTTGAGGAAAAAAATCATTAGAGAAGGAAAGAGAGAGAAATTTTATACAATGTATACAGTTTCAACGAGAAAATAAATGAAGGTCTTCAAAGACACAGCCTAGAGGTTTCACTATGCCCTGTCATATCTGAATATATAAAAATATATCAAAATGTAATTTATATGAAAAAATATTATATAATCCAATAACAAAATGTATATGATCTGTAAACTGAATTTAGAGTCCACTTTGAAAGTCCAAGTACCCAAAGTTATTGAAATATTTTCTCCAAATAGTATAAAATATTCTGAATACGAAGTAACATTTTTTTATCAGGAAAAAATTCAAAACAGTTCGTAAAAGTTATCTGGAAATCATATCATAAATTTTAGTCTTTTGTAAAAACTAAATGTTGTAATCAGTATAAAATCAAAATGTTTCTGGTATATAGTTATGAAATAGTATTTTACACTGCATAAAACAAAATCCAATGTAATAATAAATTTTAAAGAAAAAACAGCAGGTGCTCTACAAAGGAATCATTGTAACTACTTGCTAATGGCTGTTGAATGCTTAAATACAGTTACACATAAAAACCTCTGTTTCATATAAAAGATAGCTAGCTGGCTTTTAGTGTTATTAAAAAAATCAAAAGTTTCAATATAATTATTAAATATATAGAAGAAATAATAAATACAATGAAAACAGAATTTCCATTTTTTGCTCATAATGTTCAGTCTTTGTGAGTTAAATATTACATGATATTTCATTAAAATATATACATATGATTTATGCCTGTTTATTTTCTTTGTAATTATTACATTTTATATTCAAGAATAAAAATTGTAAAAGTTCATTTTATATAAAGATTTTTGATTCAGCTTATTTGCTGTTAACTTAATTCCTAATATATAATTCATAATTTTATACCTTTATTTATTATTTTTCAAACACCTAATATTTTCCTTGTATAATATTTTGTAGGGCAAACCAGAATTAACTCCTGTAGCCATCAAAGCTGGAAAATACCTTGCACAAAGATTATTTCATTATTCCTCACAAATGATGGATTATGAAAATGTAAGCGAAAAATCATTTAAAAATATGCTAATATCATTGAAAGTGGATTCAATAAATAAAAAATTGCTTAGAACTTTTGCACTTGAAGTGAATATGGCTCTTCAAGAAATGTTTTTAAAAGAATATTTTTAAAGAACATTTTAAAAAGAACATTTTTTAAACATCCATTAAAAGATTTTGAAAATATTTTTCCATGCAAGAGATTGTAATAAATATTCAGATAGTAAAATATCATTTATATGTTTTTCATTGTTATATGTAAATTTTCAAATTTCTGAAATGCCTCAATTATTAGTGATGTTAAATAGCTTTATTTAGTGTATATTATGGACCTTAGCCCTTAACTTTATGTATTTTTCTAGCTTAGAGTAGGGATAAATTAATTTGCCTTTCTGGTTTACTGTTTGCTTGAGAGAACTTAAATGCTTCTTCAATCTTTTAGTAGAATTAGTTTTTAAAAGTAGTTTATTTATCACATAAAGGTTATTTTGTGCTACATGTCCTTTGTCCTATCATATAAAAATTATTTTGGACTACATATCCTTTTCATCACTGAAGTTGTTGAGAGACAAGTCTTGAGCTTTTAACTTAACCAATCTGCTTTTCTAGACCATTACCTGGATATTTAAGGATTGAAACTAGAAGGGACTGAAAAATGTGGAAGAAGTTTGTCTCTAGAGATTTCAATGAATGTTCATATATACTGTTATTTCCACACTAAAATAATGTCATGCAAATAAAAATTTTACTTTTGAAAATTAAAATAAAAATTAAGGTAAATAGGCAGCAGATCCAGTATGGAAAAAAAACACACACACACACACACATATATATATATATATAGAGAGAGAGAGAGAGAGCTCAAAGCTGAAGATCTGCTTTCCACACTAATAATGCGTATTTACAGAAGTATATGTTTGAAAATGATTTTTATCAGAGCGTCAGTTTCCTTATATTTTATTTGTTTATCTACTTATTCTTTCACATCAAAATAGTATTGGGAAGTGTTTTTTCAGTGGTTTCATTTGGTTTGAATCTTCAGTGGATATTGTAAGTCAAAATAGACCTGAAATGTAATGAGAAAACTCTACTTAATATAGGAGAAGAACCATGATAGTTAATTCAATGTCTTTCAGAATATGCAATGCTCCAGCAACAGCTTGGTGCCAAATAGAGACAGTTTGAGAAGACTGCTGTTTCCTGATGATATTATACTTTTAGAACTTTTAAGGAATATGTAGAAAATGACAAGAAAAATGTTATAAAACTTCAAAGGTTAATTTGAAATTGAGCCCTCTGAGATCTAAATTGTATTATTGGTAAATTAGCTGCTTTAATAATATTATATCCACAGAAATTGTGATCAGAAATCCTAAGAAAACTGATCTGAGATTGATTTACTATTAAAATATTAATCAATTAAAAATCTTATCAACAAGCTGTGCATCAAACAGCAAGAACAAAATAGAAATTCTTATTAAATGATATGCATGAAGAATCATTTGAAGCACTGAAAGACATTTTTACATTTGCACCCATACTTGATTTTATACAGATGCCAATAATAAAAGAATAGACACAGTTTTTGTGCAAGAAACAGGCGGGGAAGAATATGATATTGTCTGTTTTGGTAAAAGTTTCCCAAACCTTGAAAGAAATTGCTATATCATGTGGAAGCAGATATTTGCTCAATAAATAATTCTGAAAATTTTCAGTCAGGGGCAGGTAACATGCACTAAAAAGAAACTATTTATTAGCTGTGTAAGTTTGAAATCTTTCATGTCTGTGGACAATAATTAATAGTAACAATTGCAATTTATCTATTGTAGATTAAATTTTTAAATAATAAAAAATAAATTTAATATGAGAGCATTGTGAGACTATGATTTTAAAGTTAGGCTAATTCAAGAAGAATGTGTTCAAAATCTAGAAATAGCATATGGAAATGTAGCTCCATTTTGTGCCACTGTATTCATGTGGCTTACAGAATTTCATAAAGACTGAAATTCTCTTCTGGATGAAGACCACATAAAACCTTTGTCTGCTGTAGTTCCAGAAAATGTGCTAACTATAAGTTAATCATTCATAGTCGCTGTACCAATCAAATGATAGAGAAGGAACTTAATATTAATTTTGCAGATATGAAAAAATTAGTTTGGTTCTCCCATAAATTAACAGAATACTAAAATGTGGAGTGTGACACAATCAATAAAGGAAACCTAAAATTATTCATGGTGGACACAGCATTATTTTTAACTTCATAACTGGTGATGAAATATACCTCCCCTTTTTTCTGACATTCCAATACATCAAGAAAATAAAATATGGGTTTTTGACGAAGATCGCAAGTAAACAATGGTGAAAAGACAATGAGCAATGAAAAAAGTAATGTATGCAGTTTTCTTCAGAAGTAGGACTGGTTAAGATCATTAAGTTAGAGACACAGAAGACAATTAGAGCTAATTCGTTTACCAGTAAAAGTCTTCTAGAAATTCCTTAAGGAGTGAAAATTAGGAGATTTGTGCTTCACTTGATAATGTAGCTTCTCATTCAGCAGAAATAACAGTTGAGTTTCTTGAACTAAAACACATTAAAGGGATAGAACATCCACACAGTTCTCGTGATCTTGCTTTGTGTGACTTTTGGCTGTGTCTTAGTCTAAAACAAAATTTACATAGCCATCATTTTCATTCTGAAGATTAGATCTATGAGGCTTTAAAAACATAATTTTCATTCATTCCAAGAAATGGATAGCTTGAAGCAATTAATCTTTGGAAAATTTGCCTACAAAAATGCATTGGAGGGGATTACTTTGAACACTCCTAAGATTAAGTTTAACTTATACCATTTAGCTGCATGTCAAAATTTTTTGAAAGACCTTTGTATTCTCAAGGTTGTAGAACATTTCTATTATAATCTTTTTGATCATGAATCCTACTGCATGCTGAATTTTCTGATTTATTTAGATATTTAATTTAAAAAGTTCAGAGCATATATGCAGATGACTACAGCAGTTAGAAGAATGCAGGAGGGTAATTCATCTCCATAAAGAAACTTGCAGGAAAGTTGTTTCACTTTTAAGAAGATTCTGTATGAAATTACTAAATTAGGTCATTTTAAAAATCCACTAATGCTAAAAAAATGGGGAAAACTAGAGCTTTAAAATCTCAAGTACAACAGATAATTACATTAGTGAAAAATAGAGTAAGAATCAAATGGAATATCCTGAATTGATGTCAATAATAGTATCAATGGAATCAATTAGCAGAAATCTAAATTAGCAAGAAGTTAATATGAAAAGAAAGAAGCTTTGGGCTCTGAGGAGTTCAGTACAATCATGAAATAAAGTTCTGTTTGCCAGCAGAAAATTGATGATAGAAATATATTTCGCACGACACCTCATTTTAACCTGATCTCTGGCATCTAATGTTCTTTCAAAGGCCACTTTGATATTATAAAGAAAATCTATAATACATGAAAGTTTCTTCTGGACCGAGGCTAAAGTATAAGTACAAAAAGGAGCAAATTCTGCATTGCATGTGGAGTATGAAAATGCATGCAAAGATATACACAAGGGTGATCATCATGCTAAATTGTCTGAGTACCATTTGAGAGGATGACTTTGGACATTCTCAGACTGTATCTTAAAACAAATAATGACAACAAATAATCTTGGTTACCATGGGCTGTTTCAATAAGTTGCTGGAAGCTTATGTAATTCATTACCAAGAAGTTTTAGTTATCATGAAGTTCTTGGTCAAAATTAGATTTTCACATTTGGAGTGCTTCTTTTTATTAACTTATGAAGGAGAAGAATTTTACCTTCGTATTTAACAAAATAAATAAAATTTTCAGCATATGAAAAATTCAGATAAGTTTTCAGTGCTTAGTATCAAGCAACATGCTACAGTAGTTAAACTGCATGACCTTTTTTATTATATATTTAAGCATTTTATTATATATATAAGATATTTCTCTGACTAGAACCAAATACTATCCTTATTCTTGGTGACTGCAGTTAACTAGAAACCAGATGTACACTATCTCAAATAAGTTTTACTATTATCTTTGTGTGTTATGTATATTTGTCTACCCCAATCGATGACTGCTGGATACATCTTCTTCATTTGAGCAGTACCTGCAAAACCATTTAAAAGCTTTTCATCAGTTTGCAAGACATAAAATGATTGAGAAAATGGAAGATTTGATACTATGCCAAAAAGGGTAAAAAAAATTTCATATGAGCTATCCATGGAGACATAAGTTGGAGGGATTTTTTAATGTAATCAAGACTAACAGATGTGTTGCGAAAATCATATATGATAGTGCATTGCCATTCACTTGCTATAATAATGAAACTAGTTTTCTCTCGTCTTGAGGATTATGTTGCTTGGAATATGCAGTGTTTGCAAGAGAACAATTTTATAATTTTCTTGTAAATATATGTATTTATTATTTATTTTGTGTCCTGTTATATTTTAGTTATTTGTGTATTTTTTTTTGTATAGTTTTTTTTTTTTTTTTTTGTTTGTTTTGGGAACTTTTTAGGTTTTTAATTGCTTCATTGTTTTACAGTACTTAATATTCTTTGTCAACAAATCTCTTGCCCCAATAGACAAGCTGATAAAGTCTGTTGGTTCTTTGAAGCATTAGCTTTTTTTTTCTGCATTTTGGAAGTTTCTGGAAAGCATGTTTTTGAGGTCATAGAGGCAATTTTTCAAGAAATGATTTTTTATTTCTCCTTCTTCTCAGTAGGGTAGGATATGAAAACTGTAGAGGATTACTATTTTGAGAGATAGTTAATTGAATTAGAATGTTTCAGTTTGGAGTTAAGTTAATAATTTCAGCCTTTACTGAATGAGCAATATATATTTTCTTATTTGAAATTGGAGACTTTTGACTCAGCGATTCCTCATTTTTAGGAATGAATTTGCTGTATTTGTTGTGTTAAGGAGAATTATAGTGTTATCTCTTAATTTCTTTGTATCTATCTTTAGCTGAGCTTCTTTCATTTAAAAATTGCTGCTTACTGAAGATGCACAAGATGTTTCAGCTGTATGAGACCAGCTTACTCAGATCTTTATTTATTGCTGATGTTCAAGAATATTTATATACAATGTTATTTTAATTAGAAAGGGAATAATAATAATATTTAAGTATTTAATAAATATATTGGAAATGATTTTAAGGAGACAATTAGTTTACAGTTCTGTGCTCAGTTTTTAAGGAACTTTTAATCTTTTAAATACTGGATAAAGAAAAAGAAGGTATATTTTGTCTATTGATGTCTTTATTTCGTTGTTCACTAATATTTCTGTGCAATTTCAGTTAACATTTCAACATAAGACTCCTCTATTTCAAAGATTCACATCATTGTGTAATGCTATTTTTTTTTTTTTTTTTTTACTTCAGATATTTATAGTTGACTATATAATGTGAATTCAAAACTTACATTATTAGAAATTTTTTTCTCATCTATATTCTATCTTACAATGTATAATTCCATCTGCTGCATTATATAAATATTTTAAACTTGAATCCAAATATTTTAAACTTGAATTAACTGACTCTTTGATCTAAAATCCTAGAAATTTGGTTGAAAGGTGTAAGTTTTTTTTTCCTTTTTTAAATAGGGCTACTCAGTTTTTTTCCCCACTAAATATTGTGTGTAGGATTATCGAAGAAGGCGATAAAATCTGTGAATTGGATGGAAATATATCATGCTTTCTATAAACCTTTAGAATATACAATAACAGAGCAAGATACCAGCAAATGCTATATTAAGGTAAACTTGTGATATGTATCTATGATATATATTATCTTATCTATGAGTATATTTAGTATCTGCTAGTAAAGATTATATTTATATTTAAGAATCTTATATTTAATACCCAGCATTACTAAATGCAAATAGTTTTTATACTGAATAATAATTTTGTCCTTTATTTATTGCATTACTTACATATAAGTATATGTAGTTTTATTTTTATTAGGCTGTATGTACCAGGTATTCTAAACAGAAAATTATTGGATTACACTTTTTGGGCCCAAATGCTGGTGAAATTATTCAAGGATTCAGTGCAGCAATAAAGTAAGATCTTATGGCTTTATTACTAGACTATAGAAAAGTTAAATGTTATTAACGTCTCCATGTGTTAAGCTTTTAAAAGTTTTTAAGGTATTCAAGTGCCGGTTTCCATTTAGGATCCTGCATTCAATGATATAAAAGGTGATTTAGTTACTTAAAATTAAATATCTGTAAATAATACCAAAAGGCCCTAAATTACTTCCCTCTTTTTTTCTCAGCAACATTACCAATTTTGAGCAGTAAACATTCTTTGACTAAAAATTTATTGAAAGAGGCTGCTGAAAAGTCACTAAAGATCCTTTTTATTTATTTAGTTAATTACTTTTTAAAATCTGCATGTCTGCCAGAAGTATTTATTAAAATATATATATATAAATCTCATTCAAAATCATTATTTAATACTTAAACGACTGTATGACTAAGATAATAATCTTCCGTGCGTCAAACCAACCAACAACCCCACTCACTCGCATGTAATCGACATTGATTCGAGGCAGAGAAGCACTCAAGTGGCTACAGAGCCACGCACTGCTGATCACTGGTTGAGGGGATAACACTATGGCCAGTGACAATACGTTGGTTGCCGCTATATTGATGTTAGCCACGACTATATTTTCAACCCGTGAATGGGCTTAGTATTTTTCTATTTGATCTAAAGAATAAGTAAAGCCCCAAGACATATTTATTTAGAGTGGGATGATATTCATACTGTTTTTTTTAGTTGCCATAGAGGCAAAGAAACTAGATTTCGAGAAACTTCAGCATATATTGCAAAATGCGCTCTTCCTTAACTTTCTGATTTGATGCAGCATATTATTTTGTTCTGTACATTGTTTAAACGAAGGTTTCCCACCACTGCAAATATCGCCTGCGCAAACAGTTTACATTGGCGTATTTAATCATATTTTGCTCAACAATTTTTGGCATTTGAAAGAAAGAGACTTGCATTAGAACACTGTGAAATTCGCAAAACAATATCATTATCATTAAGTACAAGGTGTCTGAAATGGAACTATCATGCTACCAGATTAGAACCATCATTTATTTCCAGTTCTGTTACAAAAAGTCAGCTACAGAATTTCACAAAATCATGTGTACAGCTTTAGATGCTAATGTTGTATCATATGACACTGTGAATGTTTGGTACCGAAAGTTCGAAAACAAGGACTATGACATTCAAGAAGCAGAGTGTTGTGGCCTGCCTGCAAGAACCTATGGAAGAAGATCAGTATGAAACCACTCAAGAGCTTGCTAAAGAGTTAGGCGTTAGTGCTATGCCCATTAGTCGTGCTATGCATCGCATAAACTTAACGTACAAGTTCAATCACTAGGTGCTGCATGAGCTGACTCAAGCAGATAAGGATCGAACCTGCACTAGTAAGCTCGAATGTCAATGCAAGGACAAAATTCTAGACTGGATCATTACTTATGATGAAAAGTGTATTTAATTTGACAACACAAGCCGAAAAGGGAGTTGGTCTGCATCCAGTCAGTCCGTTGGCAGCGTCACAGAGCGCAATTTGACTATCAAAAGATCATGCTTCATATCTGGCAGAATTGGCATGGTATTATCCATAAAGAGTATCTGGAAAAAGGTAAAAACCCTTGACAGTAAGGTGTGCAACGAGATGCTACACTGTGTTGGCGGTGCTATCAAAGAAAAACTTCGAATTGAGTTCCAGTGCAAAAAGATAATGTTCCATCAAGATAATGGAAGACCACATGTGTCTATATTCACCAGCTGGACTCTATATGGACTCGAATGGGAACTTTTGCCGCACTCACCATATAGCTCCGACATCACTCCTTCGGATGTTTACCATTTCTCACACCTGTAGCTACACCTTGTTGATGCTATATTTCATTCTGCACAGGATGTCTGAAATGAGGTTGATCTGTTTTTGGATTGTGGCCACCAAGTTTCTGGGCCAAAGGCTTTGCAAAACTACCAAAACGCTGGCAGAAAATCATAGATTTGGGTGGTGATTACTACTCGCATTAAAAGTACTGCTTTCATGTTTTTTTGTTTAAAAAATTTTTTTTTTCCCTCTAACTTTATTAAGAACATTTTTTGGTGGAAAACTTTCCTTACAACCAGACATTAATTTCATCAAAATTACAGTTTTTTACCTGATCACATTTCTGTTTTAGTATTTCCCTGAAAATGTACATCCGTAAATCAAATATAAGTAGGTTTTCACTGAAATGCAGATATAAAGTAGTTTTTCAAAAACCATTGCAGGAATAAGACCATCTAGGAATTCTAGAAATATTTTAATATAAAATTTAATGCATGATTTGCAGGATCATGAGAGAACATGTCTGCAGATGTTTTTAAAAATGCTTGGCATAATTTATGGCCAGCTATCAAATTTCATGATGAATGCCAGTAATCTGGAGTTTTTCGAATATCACAAGTAAAAAGCAAAATTTCCCGGTTAATGGAATACAACAAAGAATCCTAAATGAAGATGATATCAATGAAGTTTTGCTTTGCGATGACAATGCTTCAATCATCAATCAATTAACTGGATAACGGATATGTGTTGTGTGATTTTAAATCTAGAAAATATCCCTATCTTGACTTAGAATAATATTTTAATTTCAAATGGTGGTGATTCAGTAAAAAAAAAAAATCTTTTTCTACGTAAAATGCCTCTTAAAGAAATATTAATAAAGAACATTTTTTATTTTATAATTTTAAAGTTTGATTGTATTGGATTTAAACTTATGATTTAAAATCCATAAATTTCTAAAATCCTGATGATTTCAGATCTTGGACTGTGTACTGTATATTCTTGAGCAAAAAGATTTTTATGTTATGATGCTATGAATGCAATTGTTTTTCATACGCAAATGATTTTTTTTACATGTGTCTCAAAATATTATTATTATTTTTAATGTTTAGATGTGGTCTCACGATGCGTACGCTGCAAGATACCATTGGTATTCATCCCACTTGTGCTGAAGAAGTTGTGAAATTGTATATTACTAAAAGATCTGGACTTGATCCTACAGTCACTGGGTGCTGAGGTTAAGCTATCTTCATTTCAATGAATTCCCATTTTATTATATGTCTGTTCAAAATTTTTAAATGTGTTTTGCTTGTTATACGTAAACAGATAGTTAGTTCTAAATGGGGAATACATGAAATGAGGATTTATGTTTTTTCGTATAAAAGGTATTTGAGATAAATGATGCTGTGTTCTGAAACTTTAAAAGTGGAACATGGCTGATGCTTTCTCAAAGATAGTACTTTGTTATAACCATATGAGCATTATATATGTCATTTCATCCATATTACTTGTGATAATTATTAGCTGTTATAGAAAATACTAAAAATTTGTGCAAGAAGTTTATATTTGTTAAAATATAGATTTCATAAATCCCTTTATTCATTTTTTGAATCAGTGTATTCATAAAAATTTTGAGAACAAAACAACAAAAAAAGAAGGTTTGATCATCATAAATAATTTATTGTAACTTAATAAGTAGTCGTAATCAAATATATGTTGTCCTTTCAGTTTTGAAAAAGGTAGGATAATTCAGAAATTTTTAAATTATGATTTTTTCTTTCTTTGTTGAAGATGAATTGTTTCATTTTTCAATATTAGTTTCTTTTTATCACTTGTTGATTTATTGTAAGCTGTCATAATTTTTTCCTCTTCATGTATTTCCATTAGTTAGAATGTCTTATAAGTTTCCTCTTTCGGCTTGATCCATTTCAATAGCTTCAAACAGAGCTTTAAAATTTCCAGCTCCAAAACCCTGAAAATTAAAACACATATATTTAAAATCATACACTAATAATCAATTTTAATAACTGATGTTTTGTGTGAATTTTTTATCTCTCTGTATTCTTCTGTTCTTATATAATAATTACTTAATGATTATCTTACTTTTTTAATTCAGATTTTTATTATTTTATAAGCATTTTAATATACAAATAGTATCAAAATAATAGTAAATATTTAGTAATTGGCTACATTCCACACTGAAACAAAAGTATTTCTGAGATAATTTACCGATCAGAATTAGTCTTAAAAAAAATCACGCTCATAGTGATGTTTTTAAACAATTAAATAATAAATATTAATAAACAGTTACATAAGATTTTTTGTTTGTAATCTATCATGGTGACATTATATTTTTTCTTTACATTATATTTAAAAACAAAAGTAATATTACGTTTAGTTATAAATGATAATTTTCTAAGACTAAATGGTTTATAAAATTTCGGAATTTATAACAACTCTGTAAACTCATATGAAACTGAGCTAGAGATTGTTGCAAATGGTATAAATTTAGCATTTATATTTTGAATTTCTAAATTTAAAAAATTGCAGATTTATTAAAAGGCAGTTAAGCTTAGTTGGTTACAAAAACATGTGAATCAATTTCATATTTTTTTTTTCTTTTCTCCTTTTTTAGATTTTTTGCTTTTGTTCATATACATATTATTGCATAAATGGCTTTGTCTTTTTATGCTTAATATAAAACTTACTTGATGGTTATGTCTCTGTATAACTTCAAGAAATAATGTTGGCCTGTCTTGCATTGGTTTAGTAAATATCTGAAGCAAATAGCCATTGTCATCATAATCCACCAAAATATTCAGTTTCTGAAGCTGAAAAATAAATCAGAAGAAACTTACTTTTTACCTAATGTAAAACAGAGTATTACATATTGTGTTCACAGAAGTCCTTACCCGGCCTTTATTTTCTCAACTGTTGGATATAGGCATGCACTTCCAGTTTAAAAAAAATTGTTTTAAATACAGTCGAACTCCGCTGAAACGAACCTGGCTTATAATAAACCCCCATATATATAACGAACGAAACTTTTGATGCCATCCCAATTTCTTATACACTTGTTGTTATTTTATACAATGATAGCGAACCTCAAAACGATGCTAAAAAAAAGAGGGCAGTAAAAAGGGCCGCAACCTCTGAAATGAAATAGAAATGCTATACCCACTTTTAAATGTCTGTAGCTTACCAGATAATGGCTTTTATCTAAATCAGAAAAGATAGTATATCATTCTGACTTGTACCATTTTGGTAGTGGTTTATCCAAATAAACAAACGGTTCTTCCGCGCTGTTATTGTAATGATTTCGTTTATCAATGTGTATTATGTACGCATTTGATTTCTTAATGCATATACATTTTTTTCTCCTTCAATGATTCTAAGATGCATTGTTCCTTTAACAAAAGACATCCAATGACATGGACACTCGCTATGGTCTAGTCTGCTGGGGATATGAGTAAGCTAGAAGAATGTCAGATCATGCTTGATATGTATTTAATGAAATTCTTCTGGAAATCATTTTTATAATGATTATGTGCTTATTAGTATCGATTAAGTTAAATAAAATAGTTTGTAGCTGATCTAGGGCCCTTGAATAGATAGATTTAAATAAAACAAAGTGTGTTTATAGTGTTCATTGCATCTTTATAGCTTTTTAAAATAATGTAAGAGTATTTATTGTTTATGAATGCATAACTCATTTGATAAAACTTTCATCTGCAGATTAGAAAATTTCAAATCCTGGCAAAAGATAAAATGCTCACAAGCTTTGGTATTTAGGAATGATTGCCATCATTGATGTTACTCATTAACAAAAATATCCTTATAACAGTCATCCTTATAAACAATTAGTTGAATATTAATGTTAAATAATAATAATGGTTTTAATAGCTTAATGGTAGGATCTGAAAAAAATTTCAAAATTCATGGGACAAGAATTTTATAATTTAAATAGAAATATTTAATATATGTTTTAATCTGATCTTTCTATATATATTACTATATTTTAAATATATGATATTATTTTATATGATATTAAGTGTAGAAGTTTTATTTGTGTAATGTGTTCTATTTGTCTAATGGTAAGTTTTATTACAATATTTTATCGAAATGTTATCATCAGGTTTTGTTTATACAAATAGTTGCATTTTATGTCTCATAGGGAGTTGAGACTGTTAAAACATCTGCCTTTGCTTTTAGCTACTTGAAAATGGATAGATTCACAAAAGGTGGCTTGAATTGGAATAGATAATAATTAAAATACATTATGTTCTTTCTTTTGCATCATGACTGGTAACTCACCTGATCCATGTCTTCAGTAATCTTGATCTTTGCATCCTTCAGTCGTTCTTTGAGTGTCTTGTAATAAGTGTCAGGAATCGAAAGAAATTCCATACCGCGAGATCTCAGGTTTGTTATCTAAAATATTAGAATTTATTTTGAAATGAATACATAAATAAAACTGTTTATGTAAGTATTCATGTAAAAAGCTGATTTTAAAGAAGATAAATTCTATTCTGATTCGTGCATTCTCATAAACGTTGCTAACATATTATGAATGAATGTCCTGAAATGTGCGAAAAGAACTCTATTTATATATCTCGAACTCGCAACAAAAAAGTACCTTTAATGTTTGGAAGTGTAAAATTTAGGTAATAAGTTTCTGGGATATAAATCAACTATGGTGGTATTACCTTTTCATTGTTGTCTCTACATATAATAAAAGAAAGAGTCTGTCTGTGTGTGTGTCTTTCATTCGCGTTGCGCGTAAGCTAATATACCCACGCTACAATTTGGTACTGGTGCATCTAGACAAGAGCCAGTGCCCTCAAGCGATTTTTTCGAATTCGAATCAAATTTTTTTTTATTTTATTTTTGTGACAAATGCGTCATTTTGAGACATAATGGGCTGTAGGAAGCTAGATTTTACTCTACCATCCATTTCACATCGTCTGAAACGTCGGCCTTGCTTTTTATGAACTTAAATAATTTCGTGTTTCAATAATGGATTAATACGAATTTATTTAACAAAAGAGCTTAACACCTTTTCAATAAGATTTTCTTAAAAAGTTTATTTTTAAAAATGTACTTTATTTTCTTTGTTTTTGGACATGTTAACTTTTCCTTGCGATTGCTTTACAAAAAATTTGAAAAATGATAATATTTTGTATTTTTAAAGAATTTTTTAAATGAAGCTTCCGAATACTTCTCCATCTTTAAAAATGTGATTTTGGCAACAATTTTCTGTCTATTGGTTGATAGAATTTGATAAATGCATTCATTTTAAATAGTTTTCATTCTTTTAGAAATATGGGTTTGGCAACAATTTTTTTATGGTATTTCTTATGTCACTGTTTTAAGAGTGGCATATTTATTGTCATTTTTATATATACATCATACATTTTTTATTGATTTTTTTTATAGTTGTTCTGCAGAGTAAAATTCTGTCAGAATTTTATGTTTTTGAGTGCTTTCATGTTATTTTTTGCTTATTTCACTGTTTGTAAGATATTGAAAAATTTTGCATGATTTTTTCCTTCAAGGAAAGTTGGTTATTTTTTTTATTAGGATAATTAATTTGTATTAAGGGAATAAGCTTATTTCATGTAATTTTTTCTCATGAAAATATAAGATAAAATTATTAATTATACTTTGCTTTTCAGGATTTTTTTTGTCTTTTGTATTCTTTTAATTTTTTATTGTTGTTCATTTCACTGTTTTAAGATATTGAAAAGTTTTGAGTGATTTTTTAGGAAACAAATTTCTTAACCGCCTTTTGAGTTCTTAAGGTTTTGCAAAAGGAAGTTGTTTAATTTATTTATTAGGATAATTAATATTTGTATTAAGGGATATTGCTTATTTCATTGTAATTTTGTTATACGTAATAACTTTTTTTTATGAAGTTGTTCTGCAGAGTAAAATTCTACGCAGTTTTTAAACGCAGTTACGTTTGGTGTTCCCTTCAGCCATTTTTCCAGTACATTTAAAAGCCAGACGGAGGCTGGCATCGAAGCTGCTAGTTTTTAATAAATTACTAAATATAAGGCAGTTCTGTTAAATGATAATGTGTTATTGCTTCTGGATACTGTGCACTAATGCTTCATTCATATATACTAACATCATGGTGTAGTACAAGTACATAAACAGATTTTGCGCTGAATTCATAAAGACTTACATTTTCTACTTGAAGGAATTACTCCCCCTTTTTAATCCTAACACTGCCAGAAAGACTTGAAGCATTGTGAAGTCACATTTTAGGAAATTTCTTATGATTGTTAAATAACGAAGAATCTCGTTCTTTCAGAATTCCGTTCTAATGAAGATATTTTGAGGATTTTTCACCCTGCGGAAGTTCTGCTGTTTAAACAAGAATTAAATGAGATATTTAAAGACGATTGCAACCACAAATTACTGATTGAGATTGTTAATGATCAATATTTTGGACAAATGAAAAGAATTTGGATCATTAAAATTTTATCGATTTACTCTAGTTAATTTGGCAATCAATAAGAAATGCGAAATGTAGTACTTCTTTGAATTTATCTTTTTTTTAAAGCATTCAGTTGTCTGTGAAATGAAATTATCCCTTCTGTATAACTTCTGTAGAACAAGTATAAAATAAAATCTAAGAGAATCAGATGTTAGCTACATTTTAATGAACATCTAAGATGAAAATTGTTCTTGGAATTAATGACTCATGTTGGATAATGCAGGTAGCTGAAAAAAGAATTATTATTGTTACGAAATTCCCAACTGCGGTTGCCAGAAAGTGACAGGGAAATACAGGGTTGCCAGATTTGGCTCGAAATCGCCCATTTGGCGACAAAATAGGCGATATGCCATAGACGGAGCGAGAACACTTCAGAACAAATTCTTTCCGAGAATGTCCTCGAAGGCAGGTCACAAGTTATATGTATCTTGCCAATATGCGAAAAAGAGAGTATCAAGAGTATTTTTAGTAATAGTGTCTTATGTTTAGAGATTAGCTCGAAAGCGATCGACCGAGTCGGAAGCTGTACTTTAATGCTTTGCTGTGAAGCTGTCTTTACCGTTATTGCCTGATATCCTGAAGGCTGTGTTGCTGATTTTTTCAGCATGTTTTTCGACGATTGTAACGCTTCATTAGAACTGTTCTGTGTAATACTGATGAATAAATTGTGTTTTGATTCTTCATCAAGTGTTATCATCAATCACTCCAAATAAACGAACCCGTAGAATGCAACAGTATTATTTCTGCTTGAGAAACAATGTTGCTGCACAAATGACAGTCTGATCTATTAAAAACAGTCAAAAGAATTTTGTTATTTAGTTGATTTTATTTCGAAGTAATGCATTTGAATGTATCAGAACCTGCAACATTTTTCTGAAAGCATAAATCACCTCTGATGTGTGTGAAACATTAGAAAAGTGTGCACAATTTATAGCATATCACATGCAGCAAAATGTGTATAAAACTTTGGAAGTCACACGCCACTATTAACTTTTGAATTTATATTTTATCTTTAGTAATTTTTATGAGATGTTTAATTAACATTTTAAATTGAATAAGTTAACATTTTATTGTCTTAAAATATGCAATATATGTATTATCATATTTTGCTTTTGCTGAAGGTATATCAAAGGGCAAGTACAAACTATACTTACTGCTTTTATAATGTCTTTTGTGTTCAAAGCTATGTGCTGAATTCCTGGACCTCCATAGTAATCCACATATTCCTATACAAATAAAATATACATTTTATAGCCTTAAGATGTCAGTTATCTGTAAATAATTCAAAAAGTAAAATTCTTTTATGCGCTTATATTGCAATTCGATTTCTTGCAAGCAGTTTAAAGCAAACCCTATGTAAAAATTCCCTCTAGAACCAAAGTTAGGTTAAAAAAAATCTTGACTTTTCCAGTTTAAAGCACCAGACATTTACTATACATTTGCATTCAGAAGATTTTTTGTGTTAAATCTCCTGAATTACACATAAAGTGCTTCTGTATAGAATTTTATACAAATATGTAGTTACATATGATGGGAAAGTAAATGTATTAACATGTCTATTTATATATCTATTAATATTAAGAACGTCATGTGCTTACAAGATTCGAAGATAATTTAATTTCTTTTTCAGTTAAGATTTCAGAATGTGATTTTCCCGCTTGCGTGCATAATTTCCCTGAACTGACTGATAAGAATTTCAAGAAATTTCGGTGAATAGTATAGTATAAACACTATATCTATATACAATAATAAATTATTTTGTATTTCACGTAAGAACTTTTAGAACTATATAATTAAATTTGTATGTATTATTTAAATACATAATTAGCCATTGTTACAAATTTTAACTAATAAATATATTTCTAGCTTTAGTAATATCAAAAAACTAATGTCCACTTACAGCATTTGTAGGTAATTATATCAATAAGTTTTATCCTATTTGCATACATGATTTCTCTTAAACTGTCAGTCCAAATTTTAAGAAAATTTTATAAATTATGTAAACCCTACGTGGATAAAATGACTGTTATGCTCCTTGCATAAAAGTTTTAGAAATTACCTTTAATTTTATGTTAAAAAAATTTGAAATCCTTCAGATTTTATATTACGCCCAAAGGGGCTTTTTTTTTCCCATTTACACACACATACGTGTTTCGAGAGCATTTGGGTTAGCGCTCCTTCGAGCTAAAAATATTTAAAAGCAGCGTAGAACATGTTTTAAAATGACAGTCATCTTTTAGAATATATTAATAACACTTCCAACAAAGTTCTTCCGTTGGAAGTAGTTCAACTCTTAAACGTCTGACATATGAATAGTAGTAATAACTTGCACTGATGCAGAATGATTAAACTCCGTGAAAAAAAGAGAACTTTTGAAAGTCGAACTCGGAAGATCGAATCTAATTGAAATCCATTAGTGAATCGAATGTCTGAATCGATAAAATGGTCTGAATTCGGCTGAACCACAGCTTTGAGCTCTATGATTTAGAAGGGCTTATGATATGACTTACGAAGATCGTTATTGGATTATTGGTTTTGAAAAGCAGTAAAAAACTCCAAATATTAGGCTAGGGCACAAGTTTTCATTTTAGATTTTTAAAAATACAGCTTTTAGAAAAGAAAACTGTATTTTTAAAAATCTATTATAAAAACTTTTACAAAAGAAACAATATAGAATTTTTTTGCTAGTGACTGCATGATTTCCCACACAAAACAATGCACTAATTTTACACTCGGTAGAAGAAGGAAGCCTGTATTCCTTATACGCATTTCCTTAAATTATATCTAAATCATATCTTAAATATAATAAATAAAGAAGAAAAACTGAAAGGTTTCATATTTTAAATTACGTCCAAAGGGACGTTTACTTAACATTTTGTGTGTTACCTTTATTTATTAAATGTCATGTTCTTCGCACTTAAACCATAAAATTCAGTTCAAGGGCAATATCGCAAAATGATTTTAAATTCAGTATATCTTTAGAAAATCTGATAGACACTGGTAAAAATGTTTAATTCCGTACAGTGTTGAAACTTCTCGCTTCGCAATTGTTGAGTTTTTTAATCAAAAATTCGTTAGAAGTTTTACAAAATGGGAAATAGATAATAAAACAAATTCGAAATACAAAATTCAGGCTTCCAGTTGCCCATATTCGGGTGAAGGACTACGTTATTCAGAATTTAATGGCTCTAGTTACTGTTGTTTGTTCACAATGCAAGAAAATATACATACATGCATGCAGATTCTTCATTATTAAATTTCTTTATATAGAATACAGGACGATAATATTTGGTGGCAACGATTTGAAAAGTGATTCAACGTTTTATTAATTCGACGCCAAATACTGTTTCGAGACTTACAGCTTTCTGGGCTAACGCCTCTTTGGGATAAAAATAGTCGATTTTGCAGCGTCAAATTTAAGAAAAATTTATGATTCCATTATTTTAAAAGTAGGTATTTTTAATTACACATTAATTTCCTACTTTAGGAGAGACGATTTAGTGATTTGATTATCCACAATGGCTGTGCGCAGTGCGTATTACTAATTTATGTGTATGGCGAAAAAGGTTACTGTATTTTTATTTTATTTAAAATATTTTAATGTTTGAAATAAAAAGTAAAGGTAACAAATACATTATTGTAGAGAAATATGATGTCATACGGCGATAGTAGCGCCCTCACCTGAAGTAAAAAGTTAGTTAGATGTTAGATGCTAGACGGGAATGGCGCAGTAAGCCATATCCTTTGATTTGTAGAATTTTCCGTATGTAGATTAATTAACTAATTAACTGTACATATTGTAAATAAATATTTAACTTAACCTTGTCGAATATAGATCAATCATAGATATGATGTTCTTCATATAGAGGCCCACCAGCGGCCGAGCGGTAAAATCGCTGAACACTGGTAGCTCGGTCCGAGGTTCGAATCCCGCGAACGGGCTGGCTGCATGGGCGTTTTCGTGGTTTTCCCCATTTGTAACGTGTATACGAGTCAGTTTCCCTTAGAAAGGCGTCCACGAAGGCATCCCTACCCTTAGGCAGACAGCCCTAGTGTGCTTTGCCGTATCCACAATACACCATTTTCATATAGAAACATAGATTTTAGATACGGAAGAAGTTTCGCCTTAGAATAAAACCCCTTTCGCGACAATTATAAAGGATCGAAATATGTGTGCAAAACTTTTCCGATCATAATCCAGTTAATTACAAAGATATTGAAACTTTAAAGTGTGTTAATATTTTTTCGTAAAGGTACAACCTAACTTCTAAAACGTAAATATATGATTTAATTTCCTTTAATAGTCTTACTTTACCAGTTTTTAAAACTCTGATTTCTAAAATGGAATACGTATGACATTCGTAGTTGGCAGAAGTTTTCGTGCTTTATTCTGTAGTAAAAAGCTTTGAAATATAGAAAAAGTTCTTCGCAATTTCTTTCAATTGTAATTCTGAAGAGAAGCATTTCGTGTTGAGCTGGTATGGGGTGCGACGTGTGTACACACCTGGTAGAGGAATGAAACGAGATGTGGTGGAATTGGAACTGATGTCACAGTAAGCGCCAAAAAGCGACCTTAGCGACTGGCTGGAAGTGCGAAAGAATTTAAGGAAAGAAATTGGATAAGTGAAGAAAACGACTCTTTTCCCATCTCCATACTAATGTAGCCGAATAAGTTATGATGGGTAATAATTATAAAAGCTATTAACTATACAAATAAAACTTTAAAATTGTATTAAAAATGCATCAGGGATGCGGCTGAATAATAATTTGCAGGTAAAAATCAATAAATCCATGAATTAAAGTAGAAAAAGCGGGCATGCATAAAAAAATGGCGGCTGGCCGCCCTCCTGTCCACTGATAGCTATGAAGACTGTTTAAGTGTTTAGTAACAGATGATCAAGTATTTTGCCACATGGCTATATTACAACTTGCAACTTTCCCAATTTTGGCATTCTGGGCCTTTTCTGTTTTCTTCACTGAAAATGTCGTAATTCAGTTGTGGAATAGTGCTATTATTAACCTTCCGTAAATTTTTGTGAAATATTTTAGTAATTTTTACAATGAAGTTGTTAATTACAAGTGTATGGCATTCATTTTCGATGGCTGTGTTTCTGGTAAAAAATCCGCTGTTGGTAATTTGATCAAGAAAAGTATTTTGCACAATTTGCAGTTTATGTAGATCAGAGTAACTTAAATATATCCGCAACCAGGATAAGCGAAAGTGAGTATGGGACGCAACATGATCTTGTTATCTATGCTTAAAACTTTGTTTCGAGCAATTAATGGGCAGAGATTAGATTTAGACACTCGAAACATAAGTATTACGTGTTTTATGTGGGGCAGCCATTATAAGTGTTGATTTAAAATAACGCCTAAATATTTTACCTGCTTGGCCCAGGGAATATTTTTCTCATACACGAATAGCATACACGACAACACTTCTAATGTTGTATACGACAGCACTTCCATGCATTTCTTCCAGGTGAAGGTGATAGCCTCTGAATTTTCTGCACTGATCTGGATTTTTCAGGCAGTTTGCCAGGACTCAATTGCGTGTATGTGTTTCTGTAATTGTTGTATAACTGAGCTAATCGATGTACTTTATGGGAGAATCGCTGTGCCATCAGTATAAAGCGCGAGTGTAGGGTAGTGCGTGTGTGGGGGGATATCGTTTGTATAAGTATTAAACAAGCTAAGAGCAAGAACAGATCCTTGTAGACGGCCTGCAAGGACTTGCTGGCTAGTAGAGCAAGTCCTTATTTCAGCGAACGATAGAATGCCTGTTAGGAATAAATTATAGATGTAATGTACTCAGAATCCAGAGTTATGATTTTGTGTAAGAGTCCGTCTAGCCTTACGCGATCAAATGCTTCCGCTATATCGAGGGGAAAAGGTTCAGTTGCAACTTTCCGTTGTAGTCCAGAGGAAATCTGCTCCACAGCGCGGTATAGTTGGTGAACCATGGAATACTTCTTTTTGAATCGATATTGCTGTCGGATGAAGATCTTGTTTTCATTTGCAGAATCCACAAGTTAGTTCAGGGTGATGCGCTCATTAATTTTACTTAATGCGGATAATATACTGACCGGACAATAAGATGTTGCTCATCTGGAAAATTTGGTTGATTTCTGGACTGGTGAGACTTTTGCCGTTTTCCATGCAGTTGGGAAATAGCCGATGCGAAGTAGGGATGAAATTATTTTGGTCTATATGCATATCATCGCAAGTCCCATCTTTTACGTCACTTTATTATTGATTCTGTCAAGACAAGGGCCCTTTTTTTTTTTTTTTTTACTTTAATTTTCTCAATATAGCAAAATACATCCAAAGGTTTGAGTGAGTGTAGTATATGTGTGTTTTTGAAAGGAATTGGGTAACTGTTTGAGAGGTGCTTTGGACTTTTTAATTAGGTCTCTAAGCTTTTTATCTGTGTATTTCTTGTATTCCTTTGTGGGTCTGCTGTTGTCGCCGTGCGCTTGAATTGGGTCTCACGTTAATTAAGTCGTGGATAGTAACATCTAACTCATCTCGCGATTGTGCAGTGTTTAGAATGTAGTAGGTGTTGCTGAGAGTTTTTGATATATTTTAACCAATGCGTAGTAAAGGCTCTTGTGTGGTGTGCTATGATAATGGATATCAATCTCCGTAATTACTGCATTAAGATACGCTGCTTATTCGGAAAGTGATTCAGCTAGTGGGAGTCGAAAGATCTTTGGTGAGAAAGAAATCTAAGACATTTGTTTTAATGACTCCGTTACGATCAGTGTCATAACGTGTTGGGTAGGGTGGAGCTGCAATATGAGTATTGTCTGAAATAGCAAATTTATGTATATGTGTGATTAGTGGATTCGTATTATTGCAGCTCTAAGCTTTTGTTTAACTCGCCAACTATTATGACTGGATTGTTAAGTTGGGATATTGTACTTAAGTCAGCAGTAATATCACGTGAGTATGTTGTTTTTTTTTATTTTTTTTTTATATAGATGGAAACAAACGGGATTGATTTTTCTCCTGATGGTGTGTCTGTGATAGCTAAAGGCTCAACGACTAAAAGCTGTGAAATTGTAATTTAAAAATGCGAAATGAAGCGCTTTATCAAAATAGCAAGACCACCTCTCGGATAAATCGAAGTCATGGGTCGAACTTCTCTGTACAAATCATAGGTGCAGATACTGAATTTTTTTGTTAGGGCTAAGCTTGTGTTCTTAGAGAAAAAGAATGCAGGGTTGTACTTACTTATAAACTCCTAAAGTGTATTTAATTTATGGAAGAGACCATTTGCGTTCCACATAACAATTATCAAACTGTTTGCAATACTTATTTGAGTTATTAGCGTTAAAATTTTCTATCAGTAAAAATTACATATAACTTGTACGGATTATGTTAATTTTATTAACAGTTAAATTTGAAATTAAAGTTCCTTTCCTGTCGATTCTTAACTTCAACTTACTACTTCCAGCCAGAACGTAGTTTTAGAATCACGTCTGAATACATAATGAGCAAGAGCGGTATTTAACCGCGAAGTTCTTCGGTCTTAGTGAGAGAGATACCAGGTATTCTGGCTGCACGAGTCCGCCTTGTTAGGCTACTCTCTCGTATTATTACGCTCGGCCGTACTTTAGACCCTTGATAACTTCCTGGTCAATTAGCGTTAAGGGGCCAACTCGGTTAGAATCTTGATAGCTTTGGCTATATCTCCTTAGTTTACATTAGTTTTAGTTTAATTCTTAGCCTCTTAAGTTCAAGCTCAAGTGTCGGCTTTGATTGTACACTCCAAGACGGAGTTCTGTTAAATCTTATTTGAATAATAAAGGATTATTTACCCTTCCCTCTTGTTGTTTCTTGTCACACGAACTCAAGCGATTATTCGCTTATTAATTATCAAGGTTCTTCACGTTCAACTGTAACTTAGCATATACAAAGTGAGGAACTCTACAAATTTATCAAAAGTAGGTGCTTTCAGCTTAGGTAGATAAGTTTTAAAACATGCAAGCCTTATTCAGCTATTTTTGCCTAATACATTTTCGAATTCTGCTATGAAAGCAAAAAAAATTCAAACAAGCCTGATTTATTATTGTTGCGGTTTTTGGCGGAATTATCTGAGCTTACAGCTTGTGTTTATGATTTAGGATTATTATTTTAAGTATTGTTAGAACAGTTTTCCATAGATTTACCGTGAGCAGCAGCGAGATTTCCTGGGGGAGCAGGACTGCCATGGTTTTGGCGCTCCCGTCTGGGAGTTTATCCTAAACATTTGGAGTTTGACTTTTTTTTTTTTTTTTTGATATGTGGCTAAATTTATTATGTTTTGGAAACTTTGAACAACTCCTACATGAGGCTGGATATAAACCAATACTTTAGACAAGTTAGAGCACCTTAGAGTATCTAGCTTCTAAGAAAGAGAGCAAAACTGAGTTTTATACTCGCTGGCACACTTCACACAAGCTGGTTTGGCGTAATAATTGTCAGAAGAATATTGCCATTTCTGACAATTGGGGCAACGAGGCACCTGATTTTTATAAATATATTCCTCTGTTGTTATCATAAACAACATCAGTTGGTAACGGAGTAAATTGTTTCAATTTTTCAGAGGGACTTAGCTGAGCTTGAAACAACAACATAACTTGTTTGGTTCGGTTCCTCTTTAAAAAGCACAATTTTGTAAACATAATAGCCTTTTTTAATAAGTCCTGCGTTGATCTTATCTTTATCAGCATGTATAGGAAGTCTTCGAATTAACATATTGATTGGTTGGGCATGTTTATGATTAATTACATAATGCTCAATATTGAGCTACTGGAAGAGAGATGATAGCGATCTGTGATCATCTGCTGTTGTCGGGAAAATTTTTTAAATTCTCCATTAATTTTTACCAGAAATTCCGCTTTAGTTTTGAAGAAATAAATTTGATAATTCTTTAAAAGTGACTCCTTCTGGAAGTTTTACCATAACGGGGGCAGAGTCAGCTTAGTGAATTGGGATATCACTCTGATGCGTCGAGGTATCAACGTTGCATCATTCACTCTCTGGGAATTCAAAATTTTTTAGTTCGGAACGATTTTTAAAAGTTTTTTCTGGTGTCTTTTGGCGGTTTTGGGGAGTTTCTTAAAACCTTGATTATTTTCGCTGTTAACAGAATCATCAGAAGTAACATTATAAGGTATTTCTCCCGCCTTCTTAGCATGCCTTCGTGGTGTAATGGTCAGCACGCTCGACGCGTATTCGAGAGGTCCGTGGTTCGAGTCCCACCGAAGGCGTAGCTCATTTTTCGTCTCTCCTACTTCAAAAAATAACCTAATAACTCTACAGTGGCGCCCGAACTAAAAAAAAAAGTGGTTGATGATGATTTTCCCCACCAGGATTTAGCGATTGGGTACCCTAATCCCCAAACGCCCTTTAAAAGGGGGAGTATATAAGGTATTTCTCCCGCCTTCGTAGATACCTTCGTTGGTGTAGTGGTCAGCAAGCTGGACGTGTATTCGAGAGGTCCGTAGTTCGAGTCCCGGCGAGGGGATTGCCCATGTTTCATCTATTTGTTCATGCCATGTTTCATCTATTTGTTCTTAACATTCTATTATTATGTTTGTACTTGTTTTTTGTTATATATTTTATATTTAACTCTTCTAATCTGATTAGTAATTAATACTGGTATTATTCATCCTAAAAAAAACAAAAAAAACAAAAAAAAAATTGGCTCTCTACGTATAGAAAGCATTTCCATTCAATTATCTCTCTGTACTACGACATTTTCTCAGGAGTGTGTGCAACTTATCACAGTATAACTGTTCACAATTTATAATAGTAATTCCCTCATAGTCAGCTTCCAGCATGGCTCAAACTACACGTCCTTCGAGCCCAGTGTCCGTCAACTCGGAAAGTATGCTTTTACCACCGGAAAAAACAGCAACAGTACGCCAAGAACCGCATATAAGAGCCGTAAATCTTTATCATGCATGTCTAGATCTAGCCAGTACTAGACGAGGCGGAAAACGCGTCATCCCACCAGGAATGTTCACAAAGCTTAAAAAGATGCTCGATGAGCTCAGAGATATTGCTACAAGTAATGGGATCAGTAACGTAAGCGACGTTCCGTTTCCGATAGGTATTCCGCATCCCTCCCACGCCGTCACATGTCAGTGCGATGATTCCACCACAGACTTAATTAATACAGAAAAAATGCCGTCATTATTAGAGGATAATAATGTTCCTAAAATTTCATATGCTGATGCTGTAGCAAAGGTACCAAGGAAAAAATAACCCAACTATTTTGCTATACCCAAAGCAAGAGCTAAAATGCCATATTACAGAGAAACTAAATCAGATCCTTCCCCTCAAAGAAATAAATGCCAATATTGATTATATAGCAAATATTAAGAATGGAGGCATCGCGATCAGCAGCACTTCAAAGGAAGAACTCAACAAGATTACTAACGCCATAAACGTTTCCGAAGAAGCAAATAACTTAATAGAAATAAAAACACCAAGGGTTAAAAAACCGAAAATCTCAATCAATAATATCCCGAATACATTACCACCAAAATTAGTTCTCGAAGAACTAGTTGACCAACTAAGGATTGATAAAGAGGAGATTTCACCTCTCTTTTACACAAAAGGCAAAAACCCCAACACCATTAAGTGGGTTCTCGAATGCTCCCCTCGTACTCTATCAAAATGTATTGAACGTAGGAAAATTATAATTAATTGGAGCATTCTCCCAATCGCAGAATTCTACGGAGTGAGGAGATGCTACAGATGCCAAGATTTCTCACATTCTGGTAGTGCATGCAAATTTAGGACTTATTGCGCTTTCTGTGGCGGACCTCACTCCATAAGGAATTGCAAAGAAGACGTACCGGATTGTATCAACTGTAAACTGTTCAACTGCACATATGGAACCTACATCAATACTTCACATGCTGCATTCTCCCCCAAATGCCCATTATATCAGAGGGAAATCTCAAAAATTAAAGCTGCTGCAGTTTACACATCAAAGCAAGAAGAATAGTTAGCTTACTACCTAGTTTCTTTTAAGTTAATTTAAACTTCCCTTTCTGTACATGGAATCCATCAAGTACTACCGCCGCCCCTTCAATTCCCCAATCTCAACTGTTTACGACAATTTTACACAATAATTCGCCTCCACAGGACAAGCTTAGAATCCTTCAAATAAACTTAGGCAGAGGAAAAAAGGCGTCAGAACAACTTAGTGAAGTAATTGAAAATAACAATCATGATGTAATTTGCATTACTGAGCCGTATTGCGTAAAAGGTGAAGTTAGATGCCTTCCCCTTCACTGGCAAATATTTCAATCTACCGAAAAAGGATCCTCTAGTTAACCCACGTGCCAGTATTATAGTCACCAATACCAAATGGTCCCCTACAATTATATTAAGCCATAGAGATGTGATGACGATAAGTATTAACTGTAAATCAGAACAGCTATTAATTACTTCCATTTACTGCTCACCACGAGAGGATATGGGGCCGAATCTCCACACATTAGAAAATATCTTTAGTAATCTCAGAAGATCACAGCACGTGATTACAGGTGACTTCAATGCTCACCATCAAATGTGGCATTACAATAATACAGATAATAGAGGACATACACTAGCTGACTTTATTGCTACACACACAATCTGTATATACATAACCTCTCTTCAGACACTCCTACATTTGAAACAACAAATGGTAAAGGATGGCCGGACTTGACACTGTCAACATTGAGTATCTCCAATAAAATACAAGAATGGAAAGTTCTTGATGATCCAAGCCACTCAGATCATAACTACATCTCATTTGAATTATCAGAAGAAATCCCCGACCTCAAATTAAGAAGATTTTCAATCTCAAAGCAAAAAGCAAGGCAATTTGGAAGAAAAATCTCCACATGTCTTCAGTATGCGGAGAAACTTATAGATAAATGCACATCACCCGATGCAGTCCATGATTTAATGGAAACAATTATCAAAACAATACAGGAGACAGCGACCAACACATTTAAACTCCGTAACAACAACAAGATTACGAAGACTAACTGGTGGACAAAGGAATTAAGACGTGAAAAGCAACATACAAAGGGCCCTTCGTAGAAAAATGAAAAGTGCTCCGGAAGGGTTGAAAATGGAAATATGGATAAAATACAAGCAACAATTAGCAAATTACAAAAAGAAAATAACTGAAGCAAAATTACGCAGCTGGAAGAATTACTGCTGTAGTAATAAAGATACATACGGCCAGCTGTATAAAATGGCTACAAGTAAAGTTTTTAGTCCCGCACATATCGGTCTTTCGAGAGATCAACTCTCACGTAACAGCCAGCTTGGTAATGTCACTGAAAAGATTCTCAACAATATTCTAGATGTTGTCTTCCTAAAAGATAATGCAGAAGACGATGGCCACTCACATTCCGATATTAGATACAATAATACCGCTCCAAATACTCCAGACGATGTGGAATTCCACTCACAA